TGATGGGCCTGATATCAAGCGGGCCCTCTCGTCCATAACAGAATTCTGTAGAGGATGAGAAGAAGAAGCCAGGGTGTCGGTGTATGTGAGGGCACATTTCAATCTACTGCTGGGCTCGAGAATTCTACTGGCAGCACCAATCAATTTAGACGGACGTTTGGTAGGGGCATTTTTTGGGCTTTTCAATGGGGATGGTAGCTTCGGAGGGTGGTTTTGCTTTCTCGATTTTGACAGGACACACTTAAAGGGCTGCAGCTTCTCAGGCACAAATTTAGTCACCGGCTGCCTTTCGGTCACGCTTGTTCTCTGAAGCTTCTGAGGCCTCGACTCGTGCTTAACCTCATCTTTCTCCAAATTCGGCTCGACCCTCGTGCGCTGGGAAGATGACAAACTTTTCTTCGATTTATCTCTTTGTAATGCCGGCATGGATTCAAGGCCCATGAGTCGAGCAACCAAACCCGGTGCTCGAGTTTCTTGCTGCTTCTGCTCTTTATCGACATTACTCTTCGGAAAACCTCCACTGTTTTCATCAGCAATCTATTTCGTTTTTTCCCATAAGACAACATATAATGTAACATTAGCTCAAAGGTAGTAAGGACACATTACACAAGTGTCTGTGTACAACATGTTTGAGTGTGTGAAACATACCAACCGAAGCTTCGATTGCTTTCCGACCCCAACGAGTTTCTTCGAAGCTTGTTTCAAACGAACTGTTAACTCAAAAATGCAACTTTGTATAAATATGTCGACACCACATCTTATTCAGAACTCAAAAAAAAAGGAAAAAGAGGAAGACTCATCACCTGGAGGAAGCAATTTTGAGGAGAAGAGCTTCTTCTTAGCCATTCTGCGGTTCCAATCAAACAGTTGAAAGAAAATCCCAACACACCCTCCAGATTTCTTCTCCACAACAGATAAAGAAGACGACGACGTTTTCTCCAGCGTATTATCCATTTCTCCAAAAGGGTTCTTTCTTTTTTCTTTTTTCAACAACAAATTTGAATCAAAATCTCATCTTTACAACCAATCAAGAAACCCCTTCATCCTTAAATAACACAATCATTTACAGAGCACAAATAATTCTAACTCAGGTAGAGTTACATTAGCAGTCTACTCTACACTGGCTGCCAAATAAATAGCTGCAGCAAAACCCAAAACGAATGTGATTCGCGTGACAAAGCCATGTGCCAGGCGTGAGGCTCTTTCACAAGAAAGGCAAATGAACAGTGACGACATTACAATTACCCATCAACAGATAAAACACACACACACACACACACACACACAGAGAGACACAGAGAACTCTGAAACTGACAACCAGGTAATACGTGGAGCCACGAAAAAGCAAATTTGACAGTGTGTAATCGAATACAGAGGTGAATTAAGGGATGAGGGAGCTAAAAGCACAATCATAGGAAAATAAATGTATGAGGGATTTAAGAATCTTGACAGTGCACAGCAAGTAATAGAATGTGTGTGTTTTGTTTGCTTTTAGGGAGAAAGGACTTGTTTTGGTTCCTTATTCGTCTCAGAAAATGGGAGCTGACGAAAGGCTGTGCGG